CCCAGTTCTTATGTCAGAGCCTCCTTCTCTCTCTCTTCTCCAAGTCAGATTGATCAGGTGAGTGAAGTTTGCCTTTTCATAAGATTCACAGTCATTATTATTATGTTGTAGTTGATAAACCATGTTCTATTCAATTACAGTCTTTCTGTCTTTCTGTTTCGGCTGAATTTGGGCTAACAAATTTGATTCTTTCATGTATGTTACATTACTTTTCATGTGTACGTTGAAAGGATGATTTAGTTATTTGCTGTAAAATTTTTAAGGACTAGAAAGTTAATTCAGTCTTATAGAATAGGGTATTGATATAGGCAGTAATAGAATCCTGCTTTTATGTAATATTAGAATGATCTCCATGTAACAATGGGATATTGCTATTAATTTCTGTATATGTATATATATCCATGAAATATTGTAGGCATTTGCAGATATTTAGTTATCAAGTCAATTTGCCAGGAATAGTATGAATATAGTTAATGTAGGATTTTTAAAAAAAGATTTCTACTCAAATTTATGAATAGTGCCAATGCATAGAAGAATGATTTCATCTAAATCTTAATTCCATTTACACAACAAAAAATATATTTAACAGAAATATATGTATAGACATTACATGAAACAATTCAATGCACATTCAATGTAGAACCTTGTGGCATTGATCATGAGAAATATGGTAAATGGAAAAAATATTGGGTAACATATGGATCATCTATGTAGTTATTTCATATCTTGGAATTCCAACTTATGTTTCTGCATTTGTATTGATGAAACTACATTGGAAAAGAATCAATTTCTTTTACATGCACACCTAGTGCAGTCCTTGATATAATACGGTTCCAAACATTTATTGGTTTTATTTTGTTATTATAATAATTCATAATAGTATTCATTATAATTATATACCCACTATTATTTTTAGGGTTAAACAATGTTATACAAAATAAAAGTACAAAATAGTAAGCTAAATGGATGAGATAAAAGGAAATAAAGCTAAATCTAGTTTACAATATCATCAGCGTTCACTAAATCTTTCAAACTTTTGTTTTTGCAAACTAATCTTATTTTTAACCACATCTTTTTACTGACTCATGTCATATAAATAGTGTTATTTTTACAGGGTTTCCGAAGATTGGCTGACCTCATTAAAGAAGCTGCATGATTTTATTAAATGAAAAATGTCCAAGAAGCTAGAAGATTTCAAGATAAAACAACTTTAAAAAAATATGTTCCTCCAGCTGTAAAGAGTATACAATGATACAGAATATATGTGATAAAGAATGTTATACTCTTTTAAAATGTACATTAACATCTCAAAACATTGTATGAATAAGTGCAAAAACTTACCTATTAAATTAGGTTGCCACAAAACTTTACTCAGGGTGAAATCACCAAAGTTTTAAATACTTTTCAGATTTCATGGAGATTCTCTTGTTTTGTCTTAGTATTCTCCCTGAAACTTTATACAGCACATTTCAAAATCAGGCTTATTTGTGTGGAATTGATTTAATTTCTGTTTCTTTTAATAATGTTCTGTATCTTCTAATACTCATCATGGTTCATTCAGAAAATCTTTAAAACTACTCTATATGTTGTATTAATATATTATTTGAAGTTTTCTGCAAATGGAAACTTAGAACTCAAGGAAACCAATTTTTACAGGTAAGAATGAGCAGAATTTTAGAATAGATTCTCTAATATGAGCAACTTTATTTTTGGCTCATTTAAATTAAATATTCCATTCTATAATGGTATGTATCGCTTATAAATTAAAGGCCATATTTGATGTTATTATAGTGATTCTTTCACAGCAATGTTTTCCATGGAAATCCTGATTTCCTATAGTTAAAATTTTGAATTAAGAAAGCACATCTTCTTAATTTCAATGTGTAAAATTCCAATGTGTAAAAGATATTTTATATGGATATTTTATATTATTTATAAAAATGATATTTATATTTTACTGAATTTTCTTCTACACACTCAACTATAGGAAATCATCCTCTAATTTAAAAAAAACAAACACCTACATTAAATAACATTGTGCCTATTTCTTCTGAGAGTAGATAG